TGCGTGTTCAGAGGCAATATTTGCCTAATACGATGAATTTCGAAGGAGCCAAAGCATTTATCTCTCTTAAAAATGACTTCATGCTGCCGTTTTTAATCAGGACAAATCGGTGACCTCCACTTTCAACTGACGACAACAACATATTTAGGATGTGGTGAAATTTGAAAACGTTCTTTTACGGCTAAATCAGATCAGGCGTTCAAAGGGCATTTGGCTTCTAAATTAAACTGCCTTTCAACGGAAAACTGCATCCCGAAGGTTTAATCGCACGGCCGACCGCGAGGACTACGCCAGTGGCAAAGAAAAATGCACTGGTTTTCGATAAATCTGAGGCTTAAACGTTCTAAACTATCTGCAAAGATATCGTCATGGAACGACTCTACAGGAGCACTTAAAATACGTTCACCAACCAAAATTACTTTAGATTCACACACGCTTGACTAATGAGACGCTGAAATTGGGCGGAGTCTGTGGCGAGCATCGGAGTAGGTGGAACAAAGGCCTTTAAAACTGATTCAGTATGGAAAGTAAGTGGAAAATTTTAGAATATGCGGTGGGCGTGTGATCGCTGATTAGTCCTTCATTTTCCAATAGCCCTGTCAAGGCATATTCAAAGTCCTTCTCCGGACCTGAGACACTGGCATGGTAGTTAACGGCGGAGACAACAAAGTATTTGTTAGCATTGTTGGCCGGCCGGAAGGTTATCTGGATACTTTAAGCCACCACCAAGAGGCTACGGAGTGACCACTACGGGTACATTGAAGAAAACCAGATTTGCAGAGAGATGGGCCCCATGAATTGACGTCGAGAGAAGAGCCTGCTTGGAAGCTAGGACACAAACTAATAGGCACTTCCGCAGTCTCAAAAACATGCCGAGTAGCGTTAAGTGTAAAAAAGGGCCTGGTGCGTGACTTTCAAGGGATCTGTTGCAGAGGCGGTGGAAGGGGAGAAATAATACAGTAAATGGGCTAACTCATGAAATCGCAGCAGAAATTCCGAAATGCGTTGGGTTTTAAAACCAATTGTCGTGAAACATAATTCCATAATATTTCAGTTGCCCCAGGATGCGTCTTTCGAACACACTTCTTTTCGGCTGCACCCAGAAACCATACTCTGTAAAAAATGACTACGTATGTAGCATGCATTTTTATTGATTTTTGATTCCCTTAAAGATTCAATTTTATTTCCTGGAAAACATGCGTAAAATATTCATCCTTTTGCTCATTCGGTATAAAATTACGTCTCCGTCCAATTTTAAACTCGAAGGAACGGTATAATTTGGTATTAAAACCTTTTCTACTTCCCGAATAATTTCGAACCCGACCTGCCGTTAAACTTGCTCTCAGGCTTCCCACACTAAAAACCGTGTAATTTCAGCGTACGAAAAACCACACATTTCTCTACGGTACTGCAGGAAGATCATATAGGTGTCATAAAATTAAACGGTAGATTTGAGCCACACTGTTAATTTTACAAGCCACATTGAGAAATGCAGAGACGTGGCGTTTTATGATGGGTCATTTCACGGTATTAACAAATCTCACATTTAGAAACTTTTTAAAACCTAACTATTCTCTTTCTTCGAGCATATAATTTACAGAAAACGTAATTTTCTACCGAATGGTTGAAAGATTGAATATTTTTAAGCATGGTTTCCCTGAAATATAATTGAATCTTTAAGGGGAGTCGAAAATTAATGAGAAAATGTATGCTAATTAAGTAGTAATTTTTTACAGAGTGCGGTTTTTGGATGCAGTTGGAAAGAAGTTTTTTCAAAAACCAGCTTCCGGGGGTAACCGATTTATTATAGAACTGTGTTGTACGATGAGTGGTTTTACAACCCTATTTAATTAATCTTTTTGAAACGAAAACGCAGTTTGGAACTTCGATTGAGATCTCATGAGTTAACCTACTTACTGTACCTTTGCGCGTTGTCTTGGGATTAGAGAGTGAGATGACAGTACAACCGTTGCGAGCGACTACCTGCATAGTGAGTCACACGTGGTGGGTGCAAGAACTGTGAATTGCCTAGTATCTACTGCCCTTTCCCCCCCCATAGTCCACCTCGTTCTGACGACAAGACAATGTCAATGCGAACGCAGTTAACTCGGACGCAATAGCTGGCAGGGCCAAATGGATCGTTTACGCGAGTCACACACGACGAGTCACCACTCCATGTACAAGATTAATGTGAGGTCGTTCTCAGCGCCCTAAAGGCCACATTAATGAGAGCGTTTCTGCAGTCTCACCCTGTCCTCAGAAGAACCGATTTCTTTCCTCAGTCGGCTGCCTTCTACAACCTCGTCTCTAGTCACATAAAGTTCGTTATAATGAAAAAGGAGCCGCGCTTACGTGGAGACGGATTCCCAAGTGTCGGCCTCCCTCCTCTTTCCATCATGTTTTAAAAAGCTTTTTTAAAAAATGACTACTTAAAAAGCATGCAATGTTCTATTTGATTTTCGATTCTCTTGAAAATTCAATTATATTTCGTAGACAGTATGAATAAAAATATTCACTCTTCTAATTATTCGGCAGAAAATCACGTTTTATTCCGATTTTACACTCGAAAGAAGAGTATGATTCGGTTTTAAAGAAGTTTTCTTATTCCCGAATAATTTGAAAAGCGATCTGCCTTTAACCTTGCATTCAGCGGTTCCAAACTACAACCCAATTATTTTCCGCGTGCGGAAAATCATACATTTCTCTATGGTATTAAGAGAAGACCATATGGGGTTGATAAAATTTAACAGTGGATTTGAGCCATATTTTATACATCACAAGCCACATTAACAAATGCAGAGACTCGATGTTTTATGAAGGAGTTTTTAACGGAATTAAAAAATCACATAGCTAGGAACGTTTTGAGCATCTATTCATATATTTCCTTTCAGTATACAATGTCAAGACGTACTTTTCCACTTAATGAGTAAATGAATGAGTATATTTATGCATCTTTTCCATGAAATACATCTGAATTCTTGAGGACATTGAAAACCAATGAAAAAAATTCATGCTACTTAAGTGACGATTTTTTCCGGAGTATGGTTCTTGCATGCGATCGGAAAGAAGTTCTTTCAAAAGCTGGCACCTTGGGGTAACTGAATTATTATAGAATTATGTTGCACGATGACTAATTTTACAGTCCTATTTAAGTGATCTTTTCAAAACGAAAACGCATTTCGGAATCTCGGTCAACATTTCCTGAGTCAGCACACCTACTGTACGCGTTAATTACTTTATAGTGGCAGTAGACGTGCGCAGCATCTACCCCAATTTCATCCCCAACATTCGCTGAGCCCATGTGCAGATGTAGTCAAGGAGGCCAGAGGCGGAACCGGACGCAAGTCGTTGTCGTGTTGTGAGCCTGCGCATTGGCGCGCCACCATACCTCCCCTATGTGTGGCCTTTGTTGTGACTCACATCCCCAATAATGCCTGTCATACCCTGATTTGACCCTGTGTTTATCCAACGCATCTACTACGCGCCTCATTTCAGGCGCACACAGTTGCAACACGCCATACGCACACACACAATCTAGCCCCACTTCAGATGCACCAGGGCATGTCGGATCTCACTGGGATGAGAGTTCCCTGCAGACCGCGCTGACAGCCATCCACCGCCGTCTGATTCTCAATCCTACAGTAGGTGGGCTAACTTTTGAAATGTCAACCGAAGTACCGAAGTGCGTTTTCGTCTCGAAAAAAGTAGGGTTGCAAGAATTATCATCAAACAGAGCAATTCTGTAATAATTCAGTTACCTCAGGAGGCCGCCTTTAGAACGAACTTCTTTCCAGCTGTATACATAAATTATACTGTGTAGAAAATAACTACTTAGGCAGCATGGATTTTTCTCGTTGTCTTTCGATATCCTTAAAAATTCAATTATATTTCACGTAAAGCATGCATAAAAATATTCATTCAGTCTTCTTCCAGTTTTATGCCCACTGGAATGATATAACTCGGTCTTAAAAGAGGTTCTTAATTGTGAGATTTTTAATATCGTGAAGTGGCCGTTCATAAAACGTCATGTTACTGCATTTACCAATGCGGTTTGTAAAGTTAACAGTATGGCTCAAATTCACTGCTAAATTTTGTGAACCCCATATGATCTACTCTTAATACCGTAGAGAAATTTATGATTTTCTGTACGCAAAAAATTTACGGCTTGTAGTTTGGAAGTCCTGAATGCAAGTCTTACGCAGGTCAGGTTCAAGATCATTCGGGAATTGAAAAAGTTTTTAAAACCGAATTATATTCTTTCTTTGAGTATAAAATTGAAAGAAGACGTAGTTTCGACCGGATTAGCAAAAGAACGAATATTTTGTATGCATGTTTTTCATGAAATATGATTGAATTTTTAAGGGCATCGAAAATGAATGAGAAAAATGCATGCTAATTAAGTAGTCGCTTTTTACGGTGTATAGTTTTTACTTGCGGCCAAAAAGAAGTTCTTTTGAAAGCAGGCATTTTGGGGTAACTGAATTATTATGGAATTATGTCGCGTGATGATTAGTTTTACAACTCTACTTAATTAGTCTCTTTGAAACGCAGACGCATTTCTGAATTTCGGTTGACATTTCGTGAGTTAGCCTACCTATTGTATGAGGGAGTAAACTGCCATGTTGGCTGGAAGCTCTCACTGCTACGATTCTTAACCGCAGATGGTATGGTTAAGCGTCTGGGATTTATCGTGGTAAGGAATCCATTGAAATGCCCCAGAGAGGGATTCCCACTGTCGGTCTTATTGTCTGCCGACCACCTGATGAGGAAATCGCGCAGTGCGTGACACGGTGTAAAAGCCCACGTCTAGGGCGCGCTCCACACGCTGCGGCTTTGCCTTGTCCCACTGATGAGATGTCCGTTTTCTCGATTCACCAGACTTCCCAAAAAGATGAATTCTGCATGCCTGAAGGAAGCTTTATTTTTACACAAGATTAACAGATTGTCAATGAGAATGAATAAAGAAGTACGCTCCACTTCGACCATGCGCACACATGCTGTCACAAAGGTCGTTCGGGTGTACGATTGCGAAAAATGAAGGGGTTAAAGAATGGTCGTTTGCTGAGTCTCTTCAGGCTATCTGAGTGCAAACGTTGCAACTTTGAAATGAGGTCATGGTAGTCAGCCCAGGGATTGTAGAAGGGACGTTTTGCAATGCCGGGGTGCTCCTCCTCCTCCTCACCGTCGTCCTCGAGCGCCATCCCTCTGGTGTCCATAAAGTCGGCGTAAGTCCAGGGATAGAGGACTGCCGCGTAGGCAATGGACAAGTGAAGACTGATCAGGAGGCCAAGTAGCTGACGAGCTGACATTTCTAAAACAGGAAGTTGGAATTAAACTTGCCGACATCTGTCAGAATTTCAAGAAAAAAACTTAAACGAAACTCCGGGCGCCTCAAGCCTAGTGTAGGCCCCAAAACACTAACAAGTACTAGAGTACCGTTGAGGTACTGACGAACACCGATCTCATGAAATGTTCACCAAAATTCTGGAATGCGTTTCCGATTAGAAAGGATTACTTAAGTGGGTCGTTATACGGATTATCATAAAGCATAATCCTTTGACATTTTCGACTTGACTGGATGTTGGCTTTCGAATGTACTTCTTTTTGACCTCCTGCACAAAACCAAACTCGGTAAAAATAACTACTTAAATGGCATGTATTTTCCTATTGATTTTCGATGATCTTATAAATTAACATATATTTTACGGAAAACATGCATAAAAATATGCTTTCTTTTGCCAATATTTCAGGAAATCACACTGTCTTTATATTTTATGCCCGAAGAAAGTGTATATTTAGGTTTTAAAAAGGTTTATAATTATGAGATTTTTAAGACCGTGCAATGTCCATGCATGCAAGACCGCACATATCCGTTTACTTATGCTCCTCATGAAATGCGCAAAACACTCCGGATTCACTGCAAAATTTCATGAACTCTATGTGGTATCTTCTTATAGGCATAAAGGAATATATGAATTTCCTTATGCGGAAAGCACGAACTTTGTATACCTAAATTGCTAAACGCTGATGCAATGGCAGACCAGACTCAAAATTTTTCGGGAATTCGGAAACATCTTTAAAACCTAGGTGCACACCTTCCTTGGGCATAAAATATGAAGGCAACGTGATTTCCTGCCAAATGAGCAAAAGAAAGAATGCTTTTGTGCATGTTTTCTGTAAAATATATTTTAATTTATAAGACCATTGAAAATCAATAGGAAAAATGCATGCTAATTAAGTAGTCATTTTTTACCGAGTGTGCTTTCTGCAGGAGGTCAAAACGAAGTGCATTCAAAAACCGACATCTTGGAGAGTTTGAAATGTCATAGGGTTATGCTGCATGGTAATCATTATAACAACCCCACTTAAGTAATCCTTCCTAATCGGAAACGCATTCCAGAACTTTGGCCAACATTTCATGAGATCGGTCACGCACTGTAATTATGATTTGATTTAAAAATGATGCTGCGCTCGCGTCTATTCGTGAGGCGGTTCACAAATGCTACATCTGCTCCTGTTGATTTCCTATCCCCGATGAGGAATTCATAAATGAAGACTAAAATTCACACAGCCAGCTGTATGATATACGTCGACACTTGTCAATCTTGACAACCAAAGTCTAGCCTGCTGAATGTAGGAGCCCAAAGGACACTGAGAACGAAATGAAACTGGGCTTTACGAAGAATAGACTGTCGGTGGTATCAAACTGTCAGTTTTGCTAAACTCGACATCTTACTCATATTCCAGGGATCGTCTGTGCCACCAATATTCTAAAAGTAAAGCCGCTGAATCCGGGGGGCGTTCAAATGAAAGACAGCATCAAGTTAAGTGGGAACAGTGTGCGCAAACTGCTATTTTGAAGAAAACATAACTCAAGACATTGACAACAAATGTGGATCTGGTAGTCAGTTGGGGGATCTTCGATTGATTGCTTAGGAAAACGATCGGCCTACCACATTAGAGTTAGGAGACCCCTGTGCAATGCCCCAACAATTGGATTTGAAAACTCATGAAAATAGGAAAGAATCAAAGTCCTCAGTCAGGGCTTCATAGTTCGCGTAGTTAAAGCACTGGTCGCAGGTTCTAATCCCGCTGAAGTGACCGCGTTTTTCACGAAGGGCCGGCCAAGTAAGCAAAACGACAGAAGCTAAAAAATGGCAAGCCAATGGTAGGTTCTTTGTATGCATACCAAGTACCTTTATTTGACGTTAATGCGAATGCATCGGGGTATCGGAAAATCTTTTCACCGACCTCTCGTTGACTAAGGAAGAAGGACATTAACATTCATATGCGAAGCATGGTTACAACGCACTTCTAATTATAAAACGCACTAAAGGGCTATTTTTTGATCAACTGCACATTACCAGCGAGTTGTCGTTTTGCAAGTCTATTAAATTGGGCCCTTTTATTTCACTTCTGACAAGGCCTCTAAGCAGGAACCCTTAAAAAACCGTGCGAATGTTTCAAAAAGCGACAGCTTTTTTGAGGTAACCTGTGCTTATAGCTAGGTTCAGAAGGTGTGCTATCTCAAAAAATATTAACTGAAATTCTAAAATATGTTTTCGATTAGGAAAGATTACTTGACCAGGATTGTGACACTAATTATGTTGCAGGGACTTTTAGGTGAACTTCTTTCCGGCAGCATGCAAAAAGCTGATTTGGTAAAAAGTGACTGCTTATGTAGTGTGTATTTCTTATATTGATTTTTGATGTTTTTATGCATTCAGATGTTTTATGGAAAACATGCATAAAATGACTCCTTTTTAAAATTTTATACTTAAGGAAAGGATAGAATTTGGTTTTAAAAACGTTCCTATTCCCCAACAATTTTGAGCCTGACCTGCCGTGACACATGCATTCAAGGTTTCCACACTACAAGTTGTATATTTTCCGTGCGCGGAAAATAGCACAGTTCTATCAAGAAGAGACCATAGGAGGTTCATGTAATTTAGCAATGGGGTTGAACCATAGTATAAGCCTTACAAACAACACTGGTTAATGCAGAGACATGAGATTTTATGAGTGGACGTTTCTAGGTTTTAAAAAATCCCAGAATTTAAAACTTTTTTAAAGTCGAATTCTACCCTTTTGCTGAGTATAAAGTTTATGTGATAAATTATTTTCCACCGAATACGGCCGAAATGAAGTTTGTTTTAAAGCGGAAATCCCGAGGCAACTGAATTATGATTATATTATTATGCTGCATGGTTATTAATATTAAAACCCTACTCAAGTAATCCCTTTGAGTCGAGAACGCAATCCAGAATATAGGTAAACACTTCATGAGCTAGGAAACGCACATGTATGTGGTTTTCCTTATAGGGGAGATATAGAACTTTTAGTTCGAAAACCCCGGATACAAATGCAACGGCAGACCAGGTTTGAAATTATTCGGGAATTGAGAAGGTCTTAAAAACCCAAATGCATTCTCTTTCCAAGCATGAAATCTGAAAAAGACGTAATTTACTACCGAATAAGCACAATAAAGAGTGTTTTTACATGCCCCTCCTCTGAAATATGCTTGAATACATGAGCGCGCTAAGGGCAAAGAATAATAACTCATACTACTTAAGTAGTCATTTTGTATATAGTATGGCCTTGACAAGCGGCCGAAAAGAAGTTAGCTAAAAAGCTAGCATCCTGGTCTGACTGAAATATCGTATGATTATGCGGCGCGGCAGGTAGTCTTTCGATCCTACCCAACCGATCTTTCCTAATTAAAATGACACATTTTAGAATCTCGGTCAACATTTCACGAGATATCACATCTCATGTAACCGTCGTAAGCCCCCAAGTCCCCGCTTGACTGAGAGAACTGGCTATTCAAAAGCTAGAAAAAGCGACCTTTAGCCAGCATCAAACGACCCTTGGGCACCGTTATGTCTGAGACACGTTTGCTGCTCTCAGAATAGACTGGCTAGTTAAGGGAAAAAAGGGGGCAAGTAGAAAGAAAAAAGAGGAAAATGAGCAACTGCTGCTGCCCTCTCTTGATGTGGTCATCGGACGAAGTCTTATCGGTGCAAATGAGCAATGGCTTGCAGGAAGACAGTGAGCACCGCGTATATTTTCGTTTTTTTTTACAACAGCCATCCAGTGCCTCACAAACGGAGCTGTATGCCAACATTCCAACACTCCTGGAAGATCAGGGAAGTGAGTCTTAACGACTCCGCAGTTAGTCTGTGTCGGATATAGCATTCGAAGAGGGTTGCATGTCGTGGCCCAAGTGTGCACATTTTAAGGTCCTAAACAGAAATCCCGCCGGCGATTTGGCGTGAACTGCCAGAGACTATGGAAGATTAAAGGACTGGGCACATTGCTCTAGGATTAGATGGTAAATGTGCCATGTGCAGACGGGTTTACCATGTCTTGTGCCTAAACGGTCCCTTTAATAACACGGACCACGGTGAACACGAGCTCAGATCGCCAATACACTAACAGAAACTGGCGGTGTCTCTGGGTGACGAATCATTACCAAACCTTGGGAACGAATCATGAGTTGAATTTCGCAGTTGCCGAGACAAACAATCGACCCGAAAGCTAGTCAAGCTTGCGGTTGATCTAGCCCGGCTTGCTGACGAAGGCTCAGTCGACCGACATACTTGTCTTGGACCCACATACGCAGTACTGCGCAGCCACCAACCGGCCCGCGGCGCTGGTTATTGATAGGATGTATTTGTCCTTTATGTCATCTCTGATGATACACTCCGATAGGCGTGTGATCTCTCAGAGAAATTAACAAAGGCTCCCAGCCCCTGATCAGTATTTCTTATAGGCTAGCGTCCCGAACGAATTTTATTGATGAAATGATGATGGCAGTTAGCGTAGCCATGATCTCCAGATATCTCGTAATATAACAGCTTGGAGCGCAGCTGAATCGAATTATGAGGGTCTTAATTTCCTTTAATCTACGGAGAGGATTGGTTCCATCGAAAACACAGGGATCAAGGTACTTTTGTTCACCTCATTTTGAATTATCATGTGTTAACAAGCAGGTTTTCTAATGTGGTCAGCGAAATAATGCTTTCAGCCTTATCAGCTATTTAAGTCCTTTCTTTGTATCTCAGGTTGTGTTTCAAGTCCTGTCTAAGTGAGCCAAAAGACTGATGAATGCTCTCCGAGCGGATCAATCACCGGCACCATTGTGCTGAATGATTCCTATTCCCTACACGCTACTTTTAATTCAGAGCCGATAACAACTCACTGGGTTGAAAATAAATCGTACTTGCAACACGAGTCTACATGAGTTAAAGCGACACTGAGAGGACCTCCCTCCCCCCCTCGGTAGTCTAAAAAACCGGCGGTTATTAAAAATTACTTGTCTGAGCCCCCCAGCTCATTTTCAACGCTAGTTTTTAAGGGTTAAAATGCACCGAGCTGCGGTAATTTAAGCACTCAGTCGGGTGATGTTGCCCAACTGACGATATAAATCTGCTAAGCATATAAAAAGCCAGCGGCACCCCCCAACTTGAAGCGGGTTTAATGGCAGTTGTGCGTGGCGCTACGAACGGTCACTGATGCAGCAATAGTGCGTTTCACACGTTTCCGCCCAAATAAAGCTAGGCACTGGCCGAGTTCAGCTGCGTGTCCGAGAGTCGAAGTGGAATATTTTTGTCGCCTGTCTGTTGGGTGAACGTGATTATAGCCCATACAAATACTCCGTTCTCTCTCTCTAGGCTTAAATGGTTTGAAATTAACTGTCGCGTTGCATGTTTTGTCTGTGCAACCCTTTTTTTTTATCACAGCACATTTCTTTTTTGAGTCGGTTTATGTTTTTGGCAAAAATTCCGGCCAGACAAGTTATCTCGTCGAGTTCTTTTACCAAGGATGGTGACGAATAATTTGTGGCAATGCTAGCACACTGAGTGACCGATTTCAGGAAATGTTGGCCGAAATTCTGAAAATGGTTTTCAATTAGGAAGGATTACTTAAGTGGGGATGCAATCTTCATTATCGTGGGGCATGATTTTAGAATATTTGAGATTCATCATGATTTTGGTCTTGGAATACACTTCTTTTTGGCCTCCTGTAAAAACCACATTTGAGACAAAGTGTCTACTTAACTAATATCATTTTTTACATGAATTTTAGATGTTCCTAAAAATTCAAATATATTTTGCGGAAAACATGCATGAAACTGCGCATTATCCTACTCATTAGGCAGCACATCACGCTGAGTGAATATTTTACGCTCGAAAAGGGGTATATTTAAGTGATGAAAAGGTTTCTAATTATGGCATTTTTAAGACCATACAATGTCTATTAAGACAACATCACACCTGTGCCTGTATTAATGCTCCTCATAAAATGTACAAAATTTTCCGCATCCGCTGCAAAATTTCATGAACTCTATAGATATGCTTACGTGGAGAGTATGCAACTTGTAGCCTTAAATTGCCAAACACTGATGCAATGGGTGACCTGACTCAAAATTTTTCTGGAATTGGAAACCGTTCAAACTTATTGGTGGGGTTAGGACAAGGGGATATTTTCTCCCTTTTTATAACTATGGGCAGGCCCAACTTTATTACTTGGGCGGGGCGTTCCTATTTCCATATCCCGTTTAGACGTCCACATAAGTCTGTCCCGCCAAAGAACTTACATACAAATACAAGGGATGTTTACGTCTAGTTATTTAGATAAAACAGAAAGATAACTCCGGTAAACAAGGCAAGCTATTGCCTGGAACAAATATAAACCGCCCTCTAATTTAAGTTGGCGGTGGCACAAAAGGACAGAAAGGGAAACATCTGGACTAACCCCAGAGCTAATGATAGTTGTTGAGTCCTCCGTATTTCAAAAGGAAATGGCCATTTAAAGCAGTTTACTAGGACACATTGGTGTCATTCTTTCGTTCAATGGTTTCCCGGATGTCAAAACTGTCCCAGCATCATCAATTAGGGTGTCGGTTTTTCAGTCAGAATTTCGCGACGGCAGATAATGCTTGGGAAAAACCGATAATCGGAATTCTTCTTATCTTTTTGCATATTTGCGATTTGTACGGTGAAATGAACCCCGTTTAGCTACCCCTTCCAACCACAGAGAGGGCATTTTTAGGTAACTACTGATAATTTCAGAGAGTTTTCAAGATTACTTAAGCCCTTAGCATGCCAAATTTTATGAAATTATGCGCTCAGGTACGATTCCAAGATCAAAATCTGAATGTGGTTGTGGAGAAAAATTAGGCCGGATGCCCGGAGTATGTCGATTTTTTTCGAAAGACGAGTATATTTGGTCGAATACGTTCTACGAGGTGTCAGCTTTTCTAGTCACTCCTTTGTTAATGTATCGCAGACCATGTGTATCGCGCCTGTTAAATAATAGCCTTCACCCCGGTTAGACGGTACCTCAACGCGAGACTCTTTTGGCACTTCTGTTAACTGTAATCCCCACTATAACCGTCACTGCCACTGACAACGATATTTGGCCCATTAAAGACGATGAAGACCAATCCCACAAGACTGATTACGAAGTTGTCCAAATTTTCTAAACCTTTGATTTTTATAAATTATCACCAAGCCAGGGCATTTTTATGGTGGTGGGATCGATGAAGCATGTGAGTAATATGATGAATCAAGAAATATTCATCTTTGTACAGACGTAGGGTGTGGCAAATTGAAAATTATTCAGCTTATTCTATTATTCGCGTGTTTTATTGATCGGATGACCAAGTAAATGCACTGACTTGGAGAGAAACTATCCAACGAAAATGTCTATTTTCCGAATGATCTTCCAAAACCGACTTTAAGGAAAGATGATAAAATAGCCTTAGAAAGCAAATGTAAACATTTTCAGAGCACAGCAGTAAACCGCCTTTTTCACAAACAATACTGGCCATCGGTCAGTCGCGGACCTCCTTTGGCTAGAAACTGTGCCATCTTCAGTTTACGGTGGGTTTGTGGGATGGGATTCATGACTAGTTATCAATTCGGCCTACTTCAGCTCATTGTCATAACAATTATTAGTAATAAAAATCAGCCCTGTTGGTTTGAAACATAAGCGCCAGTTTGAAATGGGTGGCTTAGACTAGTGCGGATTTACGGTAGATGAGCTACCTCAGGAAAAGTTAGCCTGAATTCTGAAATATATTTTTGATTTAAAAACATTACCTAAGTAGGGTTGTAATTTTAAATCTCATGCACCATAATCGTAAGATGCGTCAGTCCAGTCAGGACTCCAGCCTTTTAATGAGCTTAGTTTTGGCGTCTGCAGAAATTATGCCCTGTGAATGTTACTACTTAAGTGGTGGGGATTTTTTCGTTAATTTCTGATGCCCTAATAAATTTAATTATATTTTATAAAAAAAAACATGCACAAAAATATCATTTCTTTGCCAAAGCTGGTAGCGGATTGTGTTTCTTTCGGACTATTTACTTGAAGAGGATGTATCTTTTGGCTTAAAAAAGGTTTCTGATTATGGGATTTTTTAAGACTGCGAAATGCCCACTCATACGGCATCGCATCATCACATCTATCAATTCTGCACATAAAGCATATAAAGACCTAGTTCATATCAACTGCGCGATTTGGTGAGACATTTTTTGATATTACTTTGACGGAACGTATACAGCGCGTGGTTTGGGAACTCTCGATGCAAGTATAATGGTCGATGGTGCAGCAAAAATATTTAGGGGTCTAAGGGTCCTAAAAATCCGAAAGATAATCCCTCTTAAAGCAGAATATTTTGATAAGACATAATTTGCGGTCTAATGGTCATGAGAGATAATGTCTTTGTAAACGTTTTCATATAATATATTTAAATTTATGAGAGCATCGAAAACATATATAAATGGGCAAATTTCATGATATTTAGTAGTCATTTTGTGCAGAGTGTGGTTTTGCAGACGCCGAAAAAAGGCGTCAGCCTGATATGACTGAAGTATCTTCGAACAATGCTGCATGCTTATTATTACTGAAACACTGCTTAAATAACCTTTTAAAGTCAAAATACATTTCAGAATTTCGATCAGCATTTCAGGAATTAGCTCATTTAGTGTGTTGATTTTTGCATAAGGTTGCTTTTGTGGTTCTTGTTAAAAAATACGCTAGACAAAACATATTCAGTCGGCACATCCAGCTTCATTCCTGGATTTTTCAAAACAGAAATGCAACAAAATGATTGATTGATTTATGTTCGGACTTTCATCCGCTCTGGGAGAGACACTGCTGATATCGCGAAACAGCGGAACTGCAAACTTCGTGAAAAATTTCGATCTGAAATCGAGCGTACTTTCGTTCGATGGTCACTCATGATTTAGCTACTACTGCTAGTATCACAACGTAGACTTGACTTTTGCGAATCTCCAAAAAAATATCGGAAGGCAAAGACTGATGTGCAAGGTTTTTTATGAAATCTTTCCGTTTGACAAGATCTCATGAGGATAGGATCTTACTCTGCGATAGTACTGCGCGGGTGTGTCTGTACAATAAAAATAAATAACTCCATATTCAAATATGACGACCTGCTGCTGTTACAGGTCATGTGCCCTTTTGGGAGGTCCAACTTATGTATGGATTCCAAGTTCAAGCGTCGCTTTGCTGACAAGTTGAAAAATAATATTTTTTAAAAACTATACATCCTCCTGAGCCTCCTGTTTTTTTGAACAAGCAAAAAGCACACCCAGACAGACTCTTTGTCCAAGTTTAGTATTTAAAGAAGACGAATATCCACAAATATATTTGGCCTTTTTTCTGAGAAATATCATGGAATTTATAATAACATCCAAATGATAACCCTAAAAAAATACAAGCTACTTAGGCGCCGGTTTTCTAGATTGACTTTGAAACCCCCCAACATGAAGGCAGTATATTGCCGCGTATGAATGGTTCCGTACTTATCTATCCCGGGAAAGCCCTGTCTTACACTTTGAAACCAAATCTAATAGCCAGTAGTTTGCTAAAGCAACTTTCTAATGATAATTCTCATTGCATTTTAAATATCTAGAAACAGTTAATGTCCCATTTGGGTTAGAGTTTTATCTAGCAAGTATTAACATTGCACCACACTTGTTATTATAAAACATTGGCAGCTGGATTATGAAAAGACGAGAGACAAAGCCACAGGTTAGGTCGACCTCTCTTGATCGGGTACTCTCCGCACAAATGTTGCATTCAAAGGGGATGATTCATTCGCGCAAATTTTAGGTGTGTGTTATAGGTAAAGCAGACATATCGACTTCGGGTAGCTGGCAGTTTAATCCTGCAGCCCAGCAAAACTATTTCCCATCACTGATCCCCGCAAGAATTCCAGCTAACAAAAAGTTAAACTATATCATGCTTTTGGCGTCCAGTCGTCTCAAAGCGTTCGTATTAATAAACACTAGTAAAGTAAAAATACACTCTTATTACAAGCCTATGGAGAAACTCTTAAATTGAACAATTTTAATTTTGGGTGGTAGAAAAATGGTGTGGTGAAGTGTACGTTTAAAAATGACTGCATGTTACGTTGTACTGGCTAGAAAAAAGGTAAGGTTGAATAGTTTTCGTTAATTTAAAATCACAATTTTTTCCCAACCTTCCACCTACCTTCGAAGAATAAATTTTAAATTACGATTTCGAAGTGAATATCGTGTGAACTTTCCGGACGCCGTGATTGGCGGAGCATTGCTTCATTGGCTCGCAGTCGCCATCCAATCACGGTGCATGCTCACTTAGTACATTCTTGACTGAATTTCCGATAAGAGCAATATTCACCCGGTCATACATTCGGATAAGCTGGTACCTAAAGATCAAACGCGAATAAGCGGCATATTCAGAAGATAAAGATGCGATCACTGGAACAAGAAATTTATTTGCTTGCTTTATTTGCTTGTTCCAGTGATTGCATCTTCATCTTCTTAACTGCTAAATGGAACTCGCCTATTCGCTTCTATCGAACGGCGTATTATCCGACAGTATGGGAGGTGTAACCTATTTTTGGTAAAATCACCTACACTGGGATAAAACAGTAACTTTTGGCAGAAAGGCTGTTAAACCCTGCTAAAGTGCAAGGGTTTGCGAAAATAATTGTACTTTTGTTCTTAAATGGAGAACTCAAATTCTGATGATTTTAAAACAAATAGGTGAAATTGGGCACGAAATTGGTCAAGGAGTTAATCAATTTGAACAAGTTGCGGTGACTTCTGATCGCCTGTGCGCCTCACACCACTCGAAATTGCAACCAACGTCAGAGTGAATTCGCTTAGCACCTAGGTCAACAACAGCTGTGTTGAAATTACAGCAATCGCCGATAAAACCCCAGCTTTTGTACATGGTGGAGCTTTTGCGATCTCGACTCAAAACAGGAGAATTGTTAGCAGATTACATGGTCTATTTCTAAGACTGGTCACCTTCAGGATTGACCCGATTCGATCCAAATTATATATCGTAAAATTTGCTTCCAGGGGAAATGCTTGCTGACAGGAATAAAGGTTGTTTGACCCAGAGATGATTCGACCGCTTTCGGCCTAGATGGTGATCGTCTGTCAACTATCCGATGCCTGCTTGCTTCGGCATGACAGTCGATCGATGTTCGCTCATTCCTCACTGAATAAATATTCTCTTTGGAGCGACAGAAAATGCCAGGTGTCGAGCTAAGCGTCAATGGCCCATCTAAGCGCCCCTGAGTATGGATAATTTGCATCGTATACGTGTTTACGTTCGTGGATAACTGCACTGTCATTTCAACAGTAATTCACAGTAAATGTTGGCAAAAGGCAGAGGGTGAAACAGGGGAATAGGAACTCTATACTCAATGCGGGTGATATAAAAATCTATTCCAGGTAGGTCGCCTATTCTCGTGTTCCAAACCTAGCCCCAAAGTCAAACCTAAATTTTGCCTTAACCTCAAGGGTATTACCGAAAAAGACAAGGGAGGTGGTGTTGAAGAACCTTGAAGCAATATTTCTCCGGGATGAATCTAAATCAGGCATGGACAGCCGAATTTATTGGAACCAATAGATTTCGCGACGGCTTATCAACTTCAGCCCGTCGGCATAACACAGATAATAATTGAGAAAGATACAGGGGTTCGAACATCTACAGAGAAAATAAATATACAACAGCAAGGTCATCGTATACGTCACGTAGACTAATCGATAAAATGGTAACTTCAAAAGAAACATAGGAAAGAAAATGGGGAAGTAAGCATGCCAAGGGGTTTTGTAAATGTAAAGGACTCAGATCTACCAGGGCAAGCTGAGGTTGACCACGTGGTCTAACTGTTTACATAAATCGGGTTTCCACCGCCGTATGTAGGCTGCCTCCAAGTAGCGCAGTTACCAAGTTGTTCGTGTTCGAACGCGGCTAGCCGTTCAATGGACAGCTATGCAGACAAAGAAATGGGACGTCCACCTGGTCCAACCCTTGCCATCATTTTTACGGGTCACTTAGAAGAAAATTTGTCAGCTAAATTGAATATAAAAACACTGAACAAAAGATATGTGTACGACATGTTAGCAATTTTTGATAACAACGAGGAGACCGAAGACCTAATTGCTGCCCTGAATAGTCTTTATCCTGAGATTAAATTCGCAGTGCAAAAGAAACAGTGTAGCAAGCTATCTTTCCGGGAAGTTCTCATGACTAGACAGGAATATGGTTCCGCAAGTCGACCGGCTTTCCACAAGGATACATGGAAAGGCCAATATCTGCAAATCGTGAGCTTTGTGTCCATACAGCGAAAACGAAATTTAGTATACACTCTATTGCAAAGAGCAAGAAAAGTTTGCTCTATTGAGACGTTTGATACTGAGATATCTTGCCTTAAAACGGCCTTTCTTAAACGAGGATATCCGACTCGGCTCATCAAAAAGTCCAGCAACACTTTACGGCCCAAACTTACGGAGCAATCAGTTTCGAAATAGCCCCTTGTAATACCCTACACTTTAAGCGTAAAAATATCTCAAATACCATCAAGCGACGATTGAGTTGCGCCATTAAAAGGACCTAAAACTCGGCCGAACTCATATTCTGCAGCGTCACTAGGGCTATACAAGTTCCACGGGCGAAGAATTCCCTACTATTGCACACAACGTCAAATTGTGTTTACGAATTCACATGCACTTGTGGATGCAGGTAAACTTGGCAAACGCAAAAGCAATTGGCAGCTAGGTCAGTTGAGCACCTATCTAAATGGCTTTTAAAGCAGGAACTAAGATT